GATACGGACACCGTATTTTGCCAGCAGCTGCCTCAACGAGTGAGCCTCTTTGAATGCCTCATTTTCATGTTCTCCAGAACATTTTAAACATCTTTAAAGCTGAGAATGACCATCGCATAATGTTTCAGTTTCATTTTGAATATATGAACAATTCAGTTTCTCTATTCTGATACCCTGTCAATTGTTTTGAAACCTTTTTCGTAAAATCACGAAATCACGTTTCAGTGCGCCAAGCTAGCACGGATTCATCAGATGGCAAGAAAGGTGTGCACACGTCAGCCAAGCAACTCGCCACACCAGGAGCAACCCCACCGCCGACTGCTCCGAAAAAGGTTTGTTTTACTCGTTTTGGAATAATCAGAATTCCTATTGCTTCAAAATCTGTGTTTAAATGTTACGAGTTCAATTCATTTTCGCTGCCTAAAGTTGCTTCTTTTATAGGCTCCAGTTCAAGCAACGGGTGCAAAATCGAAGGGTAAGATTGTGGCCGTAATCGGTGCCGTTGTGGACGTACAGTTTGACGATAATCTTCCGCCGATTCTCAACGGTCTCGAGGTGACTGGTCGATCACCGAGACTGATTCTTGAAGTGGCGCAACATCTCGGTTCGTTAATTTTTTCTTCTTCGGCAGTTTATCATTCTTTACTGATTGCATGCTGATTTTGTTGTGAGCATTGCAGTGGCTCCATTTGCCTTCTCGCTTTTTAACGTGATATGTAGTCATAAGAATTTANTGATTGCAGGTGACAATGTCGTGCGAACAATTGCTATGGACGGTACAGAAGGTTTGGTTCGTGGTCACGAAGTGGTCGACACGGGTAACCCGATCAAGATTCCGGTCGGTCCGGAAACCTTGGGACGTATCATGAACGTTATTGGTGAGCCAATCGATGAACGAGGTCCAATCCCGTCCAAAGTCTACGCTCCAATTCACGCCGAAGCACCAGCATTCGTCGACATGAGCGTCGAGCAAGAGATTCTTGTGACTGGTATTAAAGTGGTCGACTTGTTGGCACCATACGCTAAGGGTGGTAAAATCGGTTAGTTAGTCGAGTTGCTTCGAGTTTTACTGACGAAGTTTCGTGGTCGGGTCAATAAAAGCCTGTAAAAGTCTTACACGAAGCGGAGGCTTCTCAAAGAATTGAACTCATAATTTGAAGTAAGGTAACATTGATTGCGTTAGTTAATAAGAGTGATAAATGTTTTGAGTTTTTTTAATGTAATGAACAGTTGCTTGTATATAATTACTTTGCATTATTGGCTTAAAAATGCTCTGTCGAAGCTTTGTGATTGACAAATGAAAAAGAGTCATGGAGTCAAAACTGAGCAAAAATTATGCAATAAAACGTATGATCATTATTTTATTGGTGAATATTTCTGATGATTCAGTGAAGAGTGATCACACGGAACACCAGTTTTCCAATAATTTTAAATCTGGACATGAAGTAGTTGATTTCCA